TTAAATTATTAAAGTGTTCATTTGAATTCATTACAATTGGAATCAGAGAGAAAGAGTAGATCCAGATGTATTCAGAGGCACTGAAACAAAATTAGAACTTTGTGGACTGAATCGAGAATTTAAATAAGGACAAAATTTAAAAGTATTAGTTACTTAGCGTAGAAAATTATTCTTAGATTCGTAGACCCAACAAACAATACCTCCTTCAGTGTGAGGTCGAGGAAATGTCTTTGTCTAGCGGAAACAGAGAATGCAGTAGATATCCCTCAAATTGTTTTCGGGTCAGCCGAAGTGAAAGATCCAGAGTTCAGGTGTCGAGGTAAATTAGATAAAACACCCCTCAACCTAGGAGTGACCGAATTATTGATTTGACGTTGATGTCGAGGTAATGCAGTCCTTATAAAAATAGAAATGTGCCTCGTAGTAGAAATTATCTCCTTGAATGAATTTGACTAGGAAGAGACTCGAAGAAGGCACTTGATACATGAAGAGATTTTCTGGACTGGAGTCGAAGAACAAACTCGTTGACAGTACACAACTAGTTAACTTGGTGGCGATTGCTGGATTGACATATTTGGCATCTGCTATCCAAACAAAGACTTATGATCAATATTCCTTTGATTAGAAGGACGTGACATTTAATTGAATATTTGATTAATATTAGAAATGTTGAAAATTAAATTTTAAGAATAGTTTCAAGAATGGTTTTTCCGCATCTTAATTTTAATTTTGAAATACGTATGTCTACATTTGACATTGTTCCTTTTGCGGTTCTTTTCAGCGATTGTGATTCTCTATATCTCAAATAATATCCTCTGGTCTTAACAAGGCTTTAACTGGCTATACACTTCTCTTTTGTGGACAGACATTGTTAGCCTACGCCGACCGACACTTGATGTGGGTAAGAAATGAAGGGATGGGAATGAAAGTTCAAGTGACGTGGAAATAAGGTGTTTAGACGAAGGTAATACCTTTACCTTGAAAGCACTCGTCACGAGAGTTGTGAGTGTTATCAAAACCCCTCAGGGCCAATTCCTACCTTGTCTTTCTCAGCTAACATTTCGATACGACGTGACCTCGCCTCTGTCTGTACTTTGATGTCACATCCCATGACCTATAAAACGTTAAAGCTCCTGTATCCAGTTTCCAATAACTTTATTGATAAATTGCACTTTGTCAGAGAGGAGAATTTTTTTTCTAATCAAATATATATATATTAGGATTTATTAAATTTATGGAATATCAATTGCTTTTTTCACTCATTAAGTAATTATTACAATACCTACTAGACTAATTTATACATTATGCTCCAGATGGTAATGAACTTTTTTGGTGTTACCAGGAAAAGTTCTCAATTAAAATATTTTTTAGTTTAATATTCTGTGTAGTGAAATATATTGAATTTATTTAATTCATTTAATTCACTTTATCTTCAATTTCTCTTGTTTACAAATATCAGAGGTCTATGAACATTGATCCACTGAACCTGATCTAAATCACATTTTGTTGAAAAATATTACTATACAATGATAATTATTAATTGGTATTGGATTTCCCTGTGGGAATTCTTAGTCAGAAGATTTTTATGCTATATTGATAACGGTTATCGAACAATTTAATTTTCAACACGAGAACAGACAAGCGTTGAGTTATAATTTATTATCTTTCTATCCATTAGTTAATTCACTACAAGTTCCGTTTTTATTAAAGATTTTTGAAAAAGGAAAATTATTTTTGTATATTCAACCTTTTGAAAATCATCTATAATTATAGTGGTACTCATTTTTTCATTCTTCCACAGAATAGTCGAACTCAGAATGTTGAGATATTTATAAAAAATGAAAAATTAAGGCATCAGTTTGATTCTGGGTCGTGAATGTCTGATTAGATAATAATTAATCGATTTTCAAAATTGGATATTAGATGTCTGAGTTATAGAATTCAAAGTTCGTTTGAAGAACGAAATAATTAATGATGTGTTTTTTTACTCTTCTTGCAACTTCTGATTAGATATAAATTTTTTTAAAATTGTAAAGAAATGAATTTATTAAAGCACGTTGTAGTATATTAATGAGAAAGAAGAGCATTTTTTCCCTCTTTTTATCATAAATATGAAATAAAATACAAATGCGGAATGTAAGTTGTCAATTATGAAATATATGACATATGCTGTAATATTGCCAACGATGCGATAAAGGACAAAGAGTAAATTGTAATTTGTTATCGAGTGACGATCGAAGTGTCGAATTTCCGCAATTAGGCGAATGTCATTAATATATCAGCGCATCGGGAGAGAGTGAGAGAGAGAGAGGAGAGGGCTGATTTAAATGACAAGGCAGCTTACGCATTACACCAATGTCACACCACGTAATGTACAACCAATGCCACTTCGCGTACGAGATAGCAAGATAATTATTTATTTAGTGTAGCACTCACCGGCGTGTAATCATCTATACATTGCATTAATTACTATCCAGTTATACAGGAAAACAAGTTTTTGGCACATCCATTTCACCTTTTTTATTTAAAATTTTATTTCTAATTGTGAATAAAATTTAACTCAACATGAACAATATACCATTGTTTGAAAATTGCTTTAATTATTTACTGACATCATTTGCATTTGGTCTAATAACTCTGATTGCAGAGCAATTTCATTTTCATGCGTAAAAGCATAAGTGGTTATACTATTTGGATTCGAAATACTAAAATTGAACCTCGAATTGAGAATTTGCATAGATTTATCGAAAATTGAGAATGAATTTACGAATTATTGGTAAATGTCAATTACAAATGACCCACTAACAATGAAATTTTTATATTTTTCAAAAATTCAGAATAAAGAATATAGAATGGAATGGAATGGAAGTTTGTATGGAAAGGGAAATGCGAAGGATACAACGAAAGGTACTAAAAGAAATCAGTCTGTCGCTTCCGATTGCAAATCTTATGACGAACACAATTGCCTTATGCCCTTTCGTAATCTATATAAAAGTCCGCGCACTTTCGATCGTAAAGAAGATGAAGCTCAAGTGACTTAATAAAAAAGAAAGGGAGAGAAAAGAAAGTAAATTAAGCATTGAGGCTTCGTAGAACTTGAATAAAGAATGAAATGTAAAAGGTCCACCATTTTTGCTATTTCCAAGAAAGACTTGTTGAAGAGTTTTAAATATCACCGTGAACATTTTCATCTTCTTTTGAAAATAAGATTTGCCGACAGTCCGTTCTATTAATCAGTCCTTATCACTTCGTTTAGAGTATATTGTCCTGTCGACAATCGACAATTCAATACCTCATTGTAGAAATGAATCATTGAAACCCACCTCTCCTCTTTCTTCTAATACTTTTATTCCTTCCCTTGAAAAAATTCCAGCCGAGTTCATTAACGATAATTAAAGTCTCACTGAGGAACGAATAAACGACCCTTCCACGATGATCAATAATAATTTCTTCAAAGAGGTTTCCAATTTACGCTACGATGCATTTATTGTGACAGAGTTTTTAAAAATCATCATTAAAATTTATACAGGAATTTAAAACTTTAAGATTATAATATACACCTTTTGTGATGATAATGAATCGAATGAGTATGAATTAACGAAAGAGTTATATTTTTTTGATAAGAAAATATTAATTGAACAAGATAAGAATGTTGGAGTAAATGTTAATATAAAATATAATTCCAAAGGCAACGAAACGTAATGAAGTAATGATAATAATAATAGCGTGTCGAAAGTGCCTAAACAACCTTCAAGGCAAGAAAAGTTTTTCTTCATTAGGAACTTCAAATAAGGGAAGTAAAGTCTCGCCTCTCTATCCCTAGAGAAAGTCCAAATGGTCAAAGGTCACTCATATAAGGGACGCTCATAGATCATGGTTAGTGAAACCCTCTTTGTCTAGGTGATGGCCATGGCATCCTTAATTATTCATTATCCGTGTATAGGTAGATAAAGGTTGTTTTGAATTGGTGTATTCTCAAAGGGCCTCTACCGAATGGCTAAAAAAATTACCTTTTATAATCGAATCATTAATTAGCTAATTTTTTGCTCCTTCTATATTTGCAACTTATTTTCCAGTTTTATTTACCACTCTTTTCATTTATAATTAGCCTTCAGTGATCGTTTTTAGAGAACCTCCTCGGCACCAGTGAACTGCTGATTTGAATTTTTTTCCTGCTTTTTTTGTTTTATTGTTAATTTTTACTAAAATACATAAAAAAACCCCTTCCATTTTTAAAAATTGCAGGCTTCGCACTCATCTACTAAAACCTACTATTTACTATACTTTTTTTACAATTTGGTACTATTTGGATATTTTTTTAAATTCACGGAGAAAAAGGATTATTTAATTACACTAACTTTTCTCTTTAAATTATTTATTTATTTATTATTTGCTTTTAATGTGTTTATCCAGAGAAAAAATATATTTACTTCAGAGCTTAAGATTTGAGATATACATATATACAATTTTATTTAACTGACATAAATATTATTCGATTCAAATAAAATATTTTCTCTGGATGAAGGGGGGAGTGGAGTTAGGCCTATTCCACATTTTAATCTAGTCACAACTTCAAAATGCGTTTAAATTCGAATATCAGAAATCAATTTTATCAGTATTTTGTTAGAAAATTGGGATTATAAAAAATGTGCAGTGAGGAATCACGCAAAAACGCGTCTGATGTTCAACCTCCTGGGTGACGAGGAATGGAACATACAACTTTTTAATTTTATTATTATAAATTATATTTATAAATTGTTATAATATATTATTAAGGCTTTTACCTTTTCATTATAAATTTTAAATTTCACAATCTTCTTTGGACTCGCTTTTTTGAATTGAATCTCTTATTTTAATAAAATTGTTACTGATTAGCATCTATACAATTCTAATGATTTTGATTACAATTTCGAGCCAGAACAGAATCACTGCTACTAAATTTTAGTTTCGTTAATTCCACAGATAAATTTCATATAAAGCGATAATAATTTAATTATTAATTTCGTAAGTAGTAAATGTAAATTTATTGATGTATTTACAATATTGAGTTTCATTTGGTAGTACAAAACGAATATTACAATAAATTCCAGTAGTTTTAATGACGAAATACTCTACGATATTAGATTTTTCATATGGCACTAAAAAATAATAAATAATTTCAGAGATTTTAATTATTAATGTAACCGTTGAGCCAGTCCTTGTAACTGTACACACGAGTGTATACATCGGGTGCTCCTAGAGCACATGGAAGTCCCCATGAAACTACTCCGACTTGAACACCATTGGCAACTAATGGACCACCAGAATCACCCTGTGAATTATAAATTACATTATAAATTAAATTACAAATTAGAAAATGTAATTTTTAACTATAAAAAAGCTGTTAAATATACTATGCAACTAAATAATTGATAAGCTAACAACAGTTAACTAAAATTTTTTTTCGAAATTTTCGATTCAAGTGGGTGTGATACTTACGTGACAAACTCCATTTCCAAATCTGCTAATTGTGCAAATATTCTTGTCAGTTATTCTCATGACATTGAAAAGTCTACAGAAGGTGTGCCTAAGAATTCTAGTCTCCAATGATTTTAGCACAATTGAAACTTTGCCAAAGACCTAAAAATTGATAATAATTTAATTTCATTTCTATTATTTAACAGGATTTATTTATTATTTTAAAATGTATTTTTGGAGCGAAAAAGGATAAAAGAGGGGAAAAAATTTCAAATTTAGAATATAAGCAAATAAATAATGATCAACTTTACTGACCCAAGTTTTTCCCCAACCAGTGACAACAACTTTTGTATTAGCATCAGAAACATCAGTTAATGGAAGAGATACTTTTCCTATTCTCGTTGAAAATGTTATTGTTCCATCAATTTCAATTAGACCAATGTCACCGGCTATTTTTCTCAGATCAAAATTTGGATGGATGACCAGACGTTTTGCTTTGTATTCTGTTCCACCTAATGTTAAGTTATTCGTACCAGCAACAACTGTAACTTGCTCTGCCGTGACACTAAGGAAAATAAATTTTACAAATTACTTTTTTTTCTCTTTCTGAGAATATTTATTTCACAACTTTTAATTCTAGTTCAATTTAAATTTTCACAGTAAATTATTATTTGAGCAAATAAAAGAAATTTTCTGAATTTAAGATTACAACTAAATTGATTTAAATTCTTAATTTCGCATAAAATATTTTTTTAGCATTTTATTTTATTATAAGTTTTCATTTTGAATGAAAATTAAAAAATAGAAAATTGATAAACACTATTTTTTGATGGAATTGGAAGTAAATTAATACACTTACACTTGGAGGCAATGAGCTGCTGTCAAAATCCATTTTGCATTTACAATTGAACCACCGCAGAAATGCTTTCCTTTCCGTTGAAGAGAAACTTGATATGGGAAACCGCCTTCAGGAGCTGGACTTCCGCCGACAATTCGTCCGTCGAGTTTATAAGTTAAAATTTCCTCTTCGGAAAGTTCATTGGATTTATCAAGCCATGATGCTGAAATGAGTTAAATTTCATTATTTTTTATTCTTTCAAATTAAAAGATAATGTAATAATAAATAATAATAACAGAAGCCACAATTTTTCTGCAGATATCAAATTGAGACAAAAAACGAATCAAAAATGTTGCGAAATAATATTTTTGATTCGTCTTTTGTCTCAATTTGATATCTGCAGAAAAACGGTGAGACGATAGACTCTAATATTAAAATTAAAAAAATTTTTAAATTAGAAATTTTATTTTTAAAAAAAATTTTTAAACACTCTAAGAGTGTTTTTTTAATTTCAAAAGAAGCAAATTTTAATAACATCTTGCATTGTATCACATACTTTAATAATTATTTTAATTGAGTTTGTTTATGATTAAGGGAATAATATTAATTAAAAAAAAATTAAAACACATTAATTAAAAAAAATTGAATAACATTAGCAATAACAAATAATTTAACAAGTGGATATTTTTAAAAGAGAAAAAAGTTACCGCATGAACTTGCCACTAGGCAAAGGACCACCAGTAACGACAAATTATCCATGTTACTTTCTTTAGGCGCCTTTGAGAAAAAATTTCAAAATATCAACACTTTTATATGGACTAATCAGTACATCTATAATTTTTAATCAAAGTCGATAAATCAAAAAATGATAAAACATTTATCTATTTCTAATCTTTAGGTTATATAAAATTTATTTAACATAGTATTATAACATTAATAATAATGATAATAATAATAATAATAATAATAATAATAATAATAATAATAATAATAATAATAATAATAATAATAATCGAAAAATAAATTTAAAACTATGAAAAAATGAGGGATTAACTCTGCTGGGGCACGAAATTCTGGGAAAATTCAAATAATAATAACAATAATAATATTAATAATTTTAAATATATTGTATAAATACCCAAGTCGAAAAATTCCATGGAAGTAAGAAATTCTGCAAGTTTATTATATTTTAATATTATTTTTAAAATTTTATTATGATTAGAGTCTAATAATAAACTTTGTTGCAATTTCCCGATTTCCGGACAAAATTTTAAATTTTTCCCGAAATTTTTTTTCCATAAAATTTTTCAAAAAAAAATTAAATTATTTACAAAAATTTTAATAAAATCCTTCCCAAGAATTCAATTATTTTTCCAAATGATAAAATTTTTCACGAGAATTCAATTATTTAAAAAGAATTAAATAAAATTCTTCGCAAAAATCCAATTATTTTCATAAATAATAAATTTTTTTAGGAAAATTCAATTGTTTAAAAAGAATTAAATAAATTCTTCGCAAGAATTCAATATTATTTTCATAAATAATAAAATTCTTCACATGATTTCAATAATTTTTAATACAATTTTAAGTAAATTCTTCAAAGAATGTATAATTATTTTCAAAAATATTCAAAAATTAATTATTTTTTAAAATTCATGCTATAATGCTTTTAATATTCAATTATTATGTAAAATTTTAACTGAAAATCATTTTTAAATCAATTATTTAGAAAATTCTACGAGAATTTAATTATTTAAATACAAAAATAAAATATTTTAAAAAAATTTCTTTATACAAACTTGAAATAATTTTTAAAAAAATTCAATTGAACTTTTTTAAGAAAATTAATTCCACAGAATTGTTAATTAAAAATATGAAAAATTCAGATTTTCAAAGACTTTAATTCAAAAACCTTTGCAAGATTCAATTATTTTTAAAAATTCACGTTATAATGCTTTTGATATTCGATTATAATCTAAAATTTTAACTGAAATCCATTTTTTTAATCAATTTTTATTAGAAAATTCTACGAGAATTCAATTATTTAAATACCATAAAGAATTTTATCTACAAATTTTTAAATAATTGAATTTTTTCAACGAATTTTAATAAAATTTTCAAGGATACTTAATTAATTTTTGAGGAATTCGATTAAAATTGTATTAAAAATAATTGAAATTCAATGATGAGTTTTATTTATTTATGAAAATAATTGAATCTCGGTAAAAAATTTTATTATTCATGAAAATAATGTAATGTTTGCTTTAAATTTTATTAACACTTTTTTTAAATAATTGAAATCTTTTGAAAAATTTAATTATAAAATAGTAGATATTGAAAATGATTGAATTGAGGAAAATTTTGGAAAACAATTGAAATTTTGTCCAAGAATTTTATTAAAATTTTTGAAATTATTGAATTTTGGAGAAGTGGGTAAAAGAAGAATTCTAAAATTTTTTTTAAATAAATAAATATATAATAAATTTATTTTTTACTTTAGTAGAATTTAAAAAAAAATGAATAACTGAAGGAAAATGAGATTATAATTATTGTAAAAGATGGTTTTATTTTATCCTTAAAAATATGTACAGATGTTTGTTTAATTTATAATATAAAAAAGATTTAATCTACTTTACAAAATTCGATCGTAATACTTAAATGTTTGAAGTCTCTTTTAAACATATAGAACATCGGGTGTTTTTAAAAAAAATATGAGATTTCCAAAAAATTGGGAACTCTTTTTTTTTTGTATTGTTATTCATGTGTATTGGCCTTGATCCAGTCAACATAACTGAACACTCTTGTATGCACATCTGGGAAGCCTCGTGCACACGGTTGTCCCCATGAAACAATTCCAACTTGATATTCGCCTGCTACGATTGGACCACCAGAATCGCCCTGTAAATTGATCAACTTAGAAACTGATTCCACATTTTCTAATTTAAAAATTTTTAAGTTTTAAAATTTTAAATTAAAAATGTTTAAGTTTTTAAATTTTAAATTAAAAATGTTTAAGTTTTTAAATTTCAAATTTCTTTGCTTATTTTTGTTTTGCTTATTTAATACTAAAAGAAAATTTTATTATTAATAATGTGGTAATATTTACATTGCATAAACCTTGCCCTTTCTTGGTGAATGTACAAATATTTGTCTCTGTCACGAGTGGATTGTATGATTTACATTTCTGATGATCGAAGATTTTACTATTCAAATATTGCAGTTGTATGGGAGATTTTCCGTTCACCTTTTCATGAAAAGTAAATGTGATAAAAATTTATTTTTCAATAATTCCGTTAAAATACTTAAAAAGTGTTGATTATTTGCAAAAATTTACCTTTAGTCTACCCCAACCGGATGCAATAACTGATGTATCTGCTTCTCGAATATCATTCGGTGGAAGGGCGATTGGTTTCACTGTTGAGGAAAATTCTAAAGATCCTTTAATTTCAACAAGCGCCAGATCATTTTTTAATTTTCGAATATTAAATTCAGGATGAACAATAACTCTTTTTATTTTAAAACTGTCGCCTCCTTTCTTCAAATTATTCGTTCCAACGACAACATTTTTACCGAATATGCTATGACTGGAAAAATATTATTTTTTTACTATTGTTTACTTAATTGTTTACCAATCATTGAAAGAATTATTTCATTATTTTCTAATCTTTTATTTTTAAAAGATTAGGAAAGAAAGATTCAAAATCTTTGCTTTTTAGTAAATAATTAGTTTGTTATTTTCAATAAATGTTCGGAAAATTAACTCACTCTTGGAAGCAATGACCGGCGCTCAAGATCCAATGTTTGTTTAAAATGGAACCACCGCAAAAATGAAAATGACCCCTTTGAAGTGAAACTTGATAGGGAAATGCTCCAGAAATTGCCTCATTACCACCGACAATACGTCCACTTAGCTTATTATTAAATGCAAATTCATCGTCAATTTCAAATTCTTCGAATATTGGTGAGCCTTAAAAAAAAATCAGATATTAAATTTCCCAGGCTTAATTTTTAACTACTAATAAAAAAATGATTCATTTTCGTAATTTTTTAAAATTTATAGATTCATAATTGATGGTATTAATACCATCAATATTATTTAATAACGATTTTTAAATTGCGCCAAAAAACGTAAATCAGAAGAAATAAAAATGGAGAAGAATTTATTGTAAATAATAATAAAATCATATCAATAAAATAATAAATAATAATAAATAATAAAAAAAGTAAATAAAAAAAAAGTATTTGTCAATAAATTGAATATTTTTCATAAATATATAAAAAATATTTTTTGTACTGTACCAAATGCAGAAGCCAGGAGGCAAAATAGAATTAAAGACGGTAGCTCCATTTCACTTTTGCGATGATTCCAATTTTGAAATTTTAATTCACGGAACTGTTTTATATACCCTAAAATATTTGTCAATCAAATTAAATCATCAAAGATAGCATTTATTTCATCATCCTTCCATTATTGTAATTTTTTCCTATCAGTATATCAACTGACAAAATGTAATATTGATTGCTTCCCCAAAAATGTAATTAAGCAAAAATTTTTGTCAAAAAAAAAGAAGATAATTGATACCATCATTTCCTATTGACGTATTTTCTTCTGAAGTGTACGAAAAAAGTACCTGTTTCTCTGCAATTAATAAAAATTTTCATCAATTTATCATTCAATACATATATATATATATATATATATATATATAAAAATTATTAATTATCGATATTTGTTTATTTCTAACAAAAATAAAGGTAATATTTTTATTTTTGTTATTCATCGAATAATGATACAATGTACATGTATTTACAAATTTGTATTTAAATTCAGTAAATCTAAAGAAGCATCGACTGATATTGATAAAAATTTTTAAATGTATATAAATAGACAAATTGATAATGTATAAAAATTCTTCATCATCAAAATATTGATAAGAGAACGAGAAGCACACAAATAAAATATTTATCAGTCAGTTCTTAAAATATTATGGAACAGTAACCGATGAACGAGGGCTTTAATTTTTATGCAACTGATTCAAAGGGTGTTTATATTTTTCATATTTAGGTCAACTTAATTTTTTATTTTTTAAAGTACTTAATAAATAAATAAAAAAAATAATATAATATTTAAAAAATAATATAATATTTAAAAAAAATAATATAGTATTTAAAAAAAATAGTATAATATTTTAAAAAAATAAAAATAAACTTAATAAACTTTGTGGTTAATAAAAATTATAAACTCTAATTTTACTCTAACTGAAAATTTGTGTTCTTTTGCAGTGGATAATCTAAAACTTTTGTCGAAGATAGAGTATGAAATATATTACAAAACACAAAACGGGGAATTCCTCACTTCTGATAATTTATTTAAAGAAAAAATATTTCTGTTTTCACGTAATAATAATTAGTTTTTATATTCGTTGGCGATATGATAAAAAGTACAAAAACAAGTTTCATAATAATTATCGCAAAGAAATAAAATATTTTCCTCAATGTTTAACTATTTTTTATGCAAATCGTGAAAAGAGTTTTCCTCATTTAGTATAGTATAAATACTAGCATCCTTAGTGCTACACTGTATAAAGTGAAGTATTGATGCAAATTAATATCAGTTGAAAAATGAAACTCGCATTGTTGGCACTTTTTGCTCTTTTGAGCGTATTTTTATTAACGGGAGTTGTGACTGCCGATGATGCTGGTAAATGTCTAGAACTTGGAAAAGATTGCGAGAGAGGAAAACAATGTTGCAGCAAACGTTGTTGTGGAAGTAAGTATTTTGTATATTTAAATTATTTAATTTGTTATTTAAATTTATTTTTATTTATTTCTTTATTTCTTTATTTATTCAGTTATAATAATCAAAGTTCCTAGGGCTAAATGTTAATAGTATCATATAGAAATAAAAGTTAATATTTTTTTTCAGTTAATTTTAATTATTAGTTTATATTATACTAGTTTCATAATTTAATAAAAGAAAAAGTGTTTTTTTACTAATGTATATTTTTTTACATTAACAGGAACACAAAAGTGTGTTGAATTGGATTAAACACAAAAAAATTTGTCTTTGGAAATGAATTTTGATCAACTATTTCGGATAATTGAAATTAAAACCTTCATAAAACTTGTAAATTTTCCATGAATATATAATAAGAAAAATAACCAAATTCGCATTGTTTTTTTTAATAAAAATGTCTATGTACCTACATCAAAGAAAATAAACAATAAACTAAACTTTTTTATTATAGAATTATTTCTACCCAAGTCGAAAAATTCCATGGAAGTACACCCTGGAAATTCCATGGAACTTCCGTGGAGTTTCCATGGAAATTCTACAAGTTTTTTATTTTAAAAATATTTTAACATTTCCAGGGTTGTCATAGGTCAGGGAAATCAGGGAAAAGTCACGAATTTTTATTAAAGTACTGAAAAAAATTGAATTTATAAGAAGTTACAAATGATTGCAGAAATTCAATTTATTTTCAAAAGTAATAAAATTCTTCACAGATATTCAATTATGTTCAAGAATTCTTTAAAAATGACACGTCAACATTTCAATTATCTTTAAAAATAATAAAATTCTTCCCCATAATTCAATTATTTTCCAAAATTTTCCTCAATTCAATCATTTTTAATATCTACTATTTTATAATAAAAGTTTTCAAAAGATTTCAATTATTTAAAAAAAGTGTTTATAAAATTTAAAGCAAACATTACATTAATTTTCAAAAAATAATTGAATTTTGAATATTTTTGAAAATAATTATACATTCTTTGAAGAATTTACTTAAAATTGTATTGAAAATAATTGAAATCCTGTAAAGAATTTTATTATTTAGGAGAATAATTGAATTCTTGTAAAGAATTTTTATTACATTTTTTTTTAAATAATTGAAATTCTGTGAAGAATTAGTATTAATTATGAAAATAATTCAATTCTTCCAATGCGTTTTATTACATTGTTTTTTGAATTGAATTCATTTCAGAAATTTTATTAAAATAATAAATTTTGAAAATATTTTTTAATTCAGCAAAGAATTTCATTATTTGTGAAATGTAATTGAATTCTTGCAAAAAAATTTTGAAAATAATTACATTTTTTTATGAATTTATATAAAATTGTTTTAAAAATAATTGAAATTCTATGAAAAATTTTATAATTCATGAAAATAATTAAATAATTGTGAAGAATTGAAGAAAGAATTCAAAAATTTATCAATTTTTAAATAAATAATTGAATTTCTGAGAAAAAATTTATTATTTATGAAAATAATTGGATTTTTGCGATGAATTTTATGTAATTCTTTTTAAATAATTGAATTCTCGCGAAAAATTTTATTATTTGGAAAAATAATTGAATTCTTGGGAACGATGTTATTAAAACTTTTGTAAATAATTTAATTTTTTTTTTTTGAAAAATTTTCTGGAAATTAAAATTATTACAAAACATGAAGATATATCAATAACTCAGAGTCTTTGACTCGGAGTCATCGATTTCTTCATGTTTTATAATAATATTCTTATAAGTTGTTGAATTTCGTAAAGGTTTGAATTTGAAATTTGTTGAAAATCCTTATTCCTATGGAAGAATAATCATGATTAAATATTTATTTAAAAAAGAATTTATTGGCGTTTTGGAATAATATTTTACAAATTAAAAAAAAATTCGTAATTAAATATAATAGAATCTTTTTTGCAAACTACGAATTTAATTGAATGCGAGTATAATAAGTTTTGATAAGGCAATAAAATTTCAATATATCAACGATTTTAAAACGAACTCATGAGTGCAAGAGTTTCGAAACACTTCTGGCTGAATCCCGGACAGCGGAATGCAAATTTTGGGCGATGAATTCTCTGAAATTCTCAAGTTCCATAATCATCGCAATTTCGTCGTACGTGATGTAATTTTGAATGGAGATTATTCAAATTCAGAGTGTGCGCACGACGCGAGATGTGAGAGAAGTTCGCATTGCTTGCACCGTACACCCCCTCAACCCCCCCCCCTACCCCCTCTGATAGTCTAACTGGCTTGTACATATATGTTTGGTGGTGTACGCTTTGTGTCAAGCTCTGAGACTACCTGTCAAACTAAGCTCGAACAACGTTGAATTACGCGACAGGAAAGCAATACAAAGGTAAAATTGAAAGGAAAAGGATAAATGGAATTTAAATCGACAAAAAGCGATAATAATTTATCGAAAAAGAATTATAATTTGCATGATAATTAAGCAATTTTATTATTATAGAATTATTATTATTATATATAAAATAATAATAATAATAATAATATTATTTAATATTATTGAAAAATAATAACTTCTTATATATATTAATAATAATAATAAAATTAATTTTTGTTATAAGAATAATAAAAAACTTCTTTGAGAACCGTCGAAAGAATATTGTTAAATTTTTGCAAGATTGGTAAAACAATATATTTGTGCAATAATTGTCAAAACATTCCCGAAATATTGCTTTGCATACTGTCTAATACAATATGAAAAAATTCCAAAGATAAAAACTTGTAATATTCCTTGAATATGTATATGGAATCCAAAATCCTTTGGAATGGGTTTTAATTGTTTTAAAAAGTAAAAAAATTCTTCGCAGAAATTCAATAATTTCAAAAAATTTCTAAAAATTTTAGTCAAAATTTCAATTATCTTCATAATTCTTGCCAAGAATTTTATTAAAATTTTTTAAAATAATTGAATTTCTGCAAAAATTTTTATTATTTAAAAACGAAAATATTAAAATTCTTGCGAAAATTTTTATTAAAATTTGTAAAAATAATTGAAGATCTGCAAAGAATTTTATTATTTTTCATTTATGCCAAAAATTTTATAACAATTTTTGAAAATATTTAAATTTCTGCAAATTTTTCACAAGAATTTAATTATTTTTGAAACTTTTAATAAAATTCTTTAGAAGAATAAAATTCATAATTATTTGTATAAATAATAAAACTCATTTTAATATAATTTTAATTGAATTTCTAGAAAAATAAATGTAATTATTCTTAAAAATTTTAGTAAAATTCGTCAGAAGAATTTAATTATTTAAAAATTTGTTGATAAAATTCTTTGTGAGAATTGAATTTTTAGAAACGTTCAATTATTCAATAAATTATTTATTTTCGTATTGAAGTAAATAAATTCCCGTAGAATTTTCCAATAAAAATTGATTTAAAAATGAATTTCAATTTAAATTTTTCATAATAATTGAATATTAAAAGCATATTATAATATATGCATTTTTAGAAATAATTGTATTTTGAAAAGGTTACACATTAAAATTTTTAAAATTTTGAATTTTTCATATTTCTATCCAAACAATTCTGTAGAATAAATTTTTTAGAAAAACTTAAATTGAATTTTTTTTGAAATTATTTGAAGTTTTGATTTTCTAACATTTATTTAACTGAAGAATTTCCGTATAATCGAAATTTCATAAAATTGAATTTTAAACAAATGGATTTGAAAATTCTTAAAGAACTTTTTCAAAAATTATAGTTAATATTTGATTTCGAGAAGAATTTTAGTGATCAGGAATAAAGTCAAAATTTTATCTGGTTAATCAGGGAGAAACAAAATTAAATTTTTGAAGCAACCCTGAAGAGGTAGGGAATTAGGGATTCATTAGAAGTAGTTAAGTAAATTAAGTAACACAATATTTTTTATAACGCCTTAAACATTTTTATTAGGGTAGATAGTTAAGTACATACATATATAAGAGTAGATTAAAATTTAAAAAAGAAATCAAGAAAAATCAAGTAACATTTTAGTATTTTGGAAAAAAAAAGATAGTCATCCAGGTTTATTTATCATTCGAAATATGCAATAGTCTTCATATAAGTACAATCCACGAATACTTTCATCACCTGGCGTCAATTACTTGCAAGTTTTTGATCCTGTTAATGCAAAAATGAGGTATTTGTTAATTGAAAAATTTAATTTTTTTACTGAAGATGAAAAAATTAGATTAAATCAAGTATATTTTGTGTAAAATATAATTAATAATAATCTTTGACTACAAGAAGAAATAATTAGTTTTGTCAAAAATTACCTTTTTTTAAATTTTTAAATTAACATTTTTTTTCATCTTTTTTAATTTAATTTAAAAAAAATTGTTAATTATTTTTATTTACAATAAATTAGAATTAGATGTAAATAGAGAGGAAAATACTTACTTGATTGGCAGACTTCGCTGCAACATTGCCTGTTTCTTTGACAACTCTGACCCGAATTTCGACAGATTTGTGCATCAGCAACTCCTGTCATCAAAAGGACGCTCAAAAGAGCTAAAAGTGCAAACAATGTGAAGTGCATTTTCAATAAAATTCAACTGATGATTATCACCATTAGTATCGTGGTTTATATACTGAAAAATTAAACAAAAGTACATAATTTTCATATCTTTAAATGCAAGCAAAACTTTTTTTCTGATAAACTTTTCGGAAAAAGACAGTTATTTGAAGAAAAAATAAATAAAAGAGCCATAAGCTTCATGATAAGGGATCTCATATTATATGAAAAAGAATAAATATTATCACCAATAACAGTATCCTGTTGTACATGTTGACAATTTTATTTTTAATATATTAAGTAAAAGTTTCTTGTTTAGATACTGTCTGTTGTATAAGAAATATGAGATAATCATAAACATATCGAAATAAAATGCAAATTTTAAGATTATTAATTTTATATCTAAGGTTTCTTTGGAATAGTTGTCACCGTTTTTCTAAGACAAAAAATCTATCAGAACGTTTCAAAACGTTGCTTCCTTCGCAACTATTTTAATATTTTTTGATACGTTCTTTTTAATTTGATAATTTAATTTTTTAAATTTTATATCCCGTGTCAGGAAAATTTAGGCTGCGATCTAATATTTTAGTTATTTAATAGCAAAAATTCAAAGACGTTATTTGAACTTCTACTGTCCAATGTACCAAGTAACCGAATTTTCCGTAAGTTAAGCTTGCAGCAAGCTTGTTGCAAAATTTCTTATTGTTATCTAAATACCGAATTTTTTAATTACTTTTCTATACATATAGAATCCAAAATACATAAAATTGAAATACATTATATTATTAGAAAGGAAGTAATATGAGAATAATAAAAAGATAAAGAATATATATTTAAAAATAAAACAAATACAATAAAATGCATTTTACAAATTATCTTACAAAGGAGTCTTAAGAACAAATATTTATGCAGTTTATATAAGGGAAATTAATTCTTATTATGATGATTGGCGTCACAACATACGATAATTGTATTTTTCTTAATAACTGTCTTTTTCGGAAAAAAAAATTATTATTTTTTACTGAGATCAGGAAAAACGGTTTATTTACATTTAAAGATATGAAAATTTCTTTTGTTTAATTTCAACGGTATATATACCATGGTATCGATATTGTTCAGCATCAGTTGAATTTGATTGAAAATGCACTTCACATTGTTTGCACTTTTAGCTCTTTTGAGCGTTCTTTTGATGACAGGAGTTGCTAATGCACAAATCTGTCGAAATTCGGGTCAGAGTTGTCAAAGAAACAGGCAATGTTGCAGCGAAGTCTGCCAATCAAGTAAGTATTTTCATCTCTATTTACATCTAATTCTAATTTATTGTAAATAAAAATAATTAACAATTTTTTTTAAATTAATTTAAAAAAGATGAAAAAAAATCTTAATTTAAAAATTTAAAAAAAGGTAATTTTTGACAAAACTAATTATTTCTTCTTGTAGTCAAAGATTATTATTAATTATATTTTACACAAAATATACTTGACTTAATCTAATTTTTCATATCCAGTAAAAAAATTAAATTTTTCAATTAACAAATACCTCATTTTTGCATTAACAGGATCAAAAACTTGCAAGTAATTGACGCCAGGTGATGAAAATATTCGTGGATTGTACTTATATGAAGACTATTGCATATTTTGAATGTTGAAACTCTAAATAAACTTGGATATTAAATATGTTGTTTTATTTAATTTTGCAAACTATATCTATAATACCTTTCTACCTCTAAGAAACCGAATGCTAAATAATAACAAAATGAAATTTGATTTAAGCTGATTAATTTGAAAAATAGTTGAGAGCACTCGATAATTAATTTAATTTTTAGACACTTCACAAAACTGACAAAAAATACATTCTATATATTATTCTCCTGAATTTTACCTAATTTTCATCAAAAATATTTACTTCTTTCTTATCCTGCTAATAACTTGAATTCCTCCAACGAATTTTATTATTCATGCGAAAGAATTTAAATATTTATAAAAGTAATTTAATTCTTACGAAGAAGTTTATAAAAATTAAATAATTGATTTCACCTTTCGTCTAATTTTATGCAAATTTTAATTTAAATAATTGAATTCATGAAAATTTTTTATTATTCTTGAAAAGAATTGAATTCATACGAAGATTTTTACAAAAAAATTTTTAAATACATTGAATTCTTGCGAACGATTTTAAAAGAATTTTTTAAAATAATTAAATTTCCAAGAAATAATTTACCACTTTTAAAAATAATTGAATTCTTGTGATGAATATCACAATATTTATATGAAATCAATTTAATTTTGCCAAAAATTTTATTAAAATGCCTCAAAATAATTGAATTTCAGGGAATAATTTTGTTATTTATCTTTAATAATTGAATTCTTTCGAAGAATTATTTATACAAATAATTGAATTCTTGGGACGAATTTTATTAAAATCTAAAAGAATAATTAAATTATTTATTAAAAATTTAATTAAAATTATATTTAAAACTAGCTGTCGTACCCGTCTTCGACGGGTTGTAGTTTCTGATAATGCACTTAACAGTGTATCTACCAACCTAGAAAACCGGAAAATAGCCGGGAATTTGATTTGACAGGGAAAAAATAATAATTAGTTACTATTGTCTATTTCATTAGGAAAATAATACCATTTGAAACAGTGACCGACTTTTTATTATCAAATTAGTTATTTTTAACTAATTCAAATGCAGAAAACAATATTTCTCAATTTGTAGTACTTCAATCAATATAATGTATTAAAATCAATCTAAAATTTCCTCCAGTTTTTTGAGTTATAGTACAGTCTAATTCGAACTAATTGTATAGCAAGTAGATCCAGTTTTTCTCGGTTACATTAAATTCCCTGATATTTTACGTCTTTTCTGGTTGGTAGACACCCTGTTAAATGTATTATTAAAAAAAACCCGTCCAGTAAACCAGGAAAAATTTGGACAAAGCCGGAAATTGTTTTAAACCAAAATAAACACCGTGTTTAACTTTTGTCTTTACATTGATCAAGATATCTCTAAAAGTTAAATCAGAGAGCCCACAAATACTACTGAATTAAGCTTCATAGCAATTGGTATCAATTATAATTTTTTCAATTTTTTGATATTCAAAACATTTTTATACTTACATCTTCGTTATAAGAAAGTATTTTTGAAAAATTATGCTAAAATGTTAATAAATAACATGTAATACTCAACTATAGAAAGTTTAGAAGCAATCCATGAAAAAATATAAAATTTAGAAATGATTTGTGTTAAATAAATTTATTTATTAGAGTCAAGTATTTATTTAATTAATCCAATTAAGATTTATTTGATTCAACTAAATAAAATTATTTAAACGAAATAAATTCTTATTAGATCGAAATAAAAACTTTTTAAATAAGATATTATTTTTCAAATAATTATAATTACTTGAATCATATAACTTTTTTTAGTGTAGCTATAGTAAACTAAAAGTTATTAATGTGAACGAACATTATCTATATTAATAAAATCAGATTACTATCTGTACATTGCTCCAAACTTGAAAATTTTTATATATTTTTTCGTTTTGAGACATTAGAATTCTAAAAATGTAAAAAAAATTTCTGTCTGTCTGTCTCTGTCTGTATGCAAAACTTTGTTCGCGCATCAATTGAAAACGGTTCAACCAATTAAAGTGAAATTTGGCAGTCTATTAGGTATTAAAGTAACTTACAATCATAGCCTTATCCGATTAAAAAATATTAACTTGAACAAAAGTTATGACATTTTTCCAAAAAATTCAAAAAAACAAAAAAATGCAAATTTTTTATCTTTTGTAAAATGAATGAAAAAACTATCCTTAGCTAACTTTTTCAGATAAATACAACCCATTTCTAGGATAAAATTTTTAAAAAAGATGTATTTTGAAATTTTTTTTCGTTTTTTTAGATCAACTTTTTTCTAAGAAAATAGTGATTTTTAATCTTTAAGCAAGCTTTTCAGGAAAAGTTATTAAAGTTTTTTATTTAAAGATCAGTATGTAAAGTAAAAAATTTGCTACATTAAACAAAAATAATTAGCTAAATGATATAAAAAAGAAGGAAAAATGTTGAATTTTAAGAAATTCGGTTTTTTGAATTTTTGCTAATTTTCCATAATTTTAGATTTTTTACCGAAGGGTGGAGACTATTGAATAAGTAAAGTATTTTTTAAGAGCACAAAAATAATAAAGCTAAATGCCATAAAAAGAAGGAAAAATGTTTAATTTTAAGAAATTCATTTTTTTGCATTTTTGCTATTTTTCCATAATTTTTGATTTTTTGCTGAAGGGTGGAGACTATTCAAATAGTATAATTATACTACCGAAATAGCTAATGGTAACTAATTATTAATTAATTAATTATTAACTAATTATTAATTATTATTAATTAACTAATTATTAATTATTAATTATTAATTATTAATTAATTTATCCCGGGTATTTTTGATTTTCCAGATTGGTAGAAACATTGTTAAATGTATTGGTAGAAACTAAAACCCGTCGAAGACGGGTACGACATGACAGCTAGTGCTATATATTTTCAAAATTTTTAAAATTCAAAATTTATCTTTTGAAATAATTATTGTCATTAATTTTACTTAAATTTTATACAGGGTTAATTTTAGTATTTTTTATTACAATTTAGTCATCAGAATGAAATTTGAGTTTTTCATTTTTTGATCATTAATTAATAAAATATAATAGCAATTTTGAATTCTGTGCAACATACTGACAAAAGTCTCATATTAAGTATATGGATATTGTTAATATTCTGACCTAATAGAATTCTTTTAAGAAAGTAAACTTATGATTTCAACAACAAATTTTTATTGTTGACCTAAGAAATACAACCGTATAAAAATTAATTACAAAGAATTTCAATTTTTAAACTTTTTAATTTTTCAATATTTAAATCTAACACTTTTTATTTGTTATTCAAAATTTTATTATTCTGGCGATTAAATCTTCATAAGAAACACTAAAATTAACCCTGTACCAAGTTTAAGTACAATTCACTAAAGTATATGAAAAAACTAAAAATTTCGAATTTTCGAATTTTTGAAAAAATGGCATAACTTTCGTCCATATTAATATTTTTTAATCTACTATCGCTAGGATTTTAAGTTAGGCTAATGCCTAAAAGACTGCAAAGTTTTACTTCAAACGATCGAACCGTTTTTCCGTGATACGCGGTCGAAAATTTGCGGACATACATACACACATACACACATACACACATATACACATACACACATATACACATACACACATAATTTTCTTAATAGTATTTTCGCATTCCTTAGAGTGTAAAAAGAAGGAATATAATAGAAATTTTGAATTCTATGCAATGTACAGACAAAAGTCTGATTTTATTAATAAGGATAAGTGATTTCTTTCAAACAATTTTATTAAAATATTTAAAAATAATTGAATTCTTGTGAAAATTCTAATATTTTTGAAAATAATTGAATTCTTCCAAAGAAATTTAAAAAAAAACATTTTTTCAAATAATTGATTTTTTTGAGGAATTGAAATTAAATTTTAAGAATAATTACATTTTTTGAGCAATTCCAGTATAGTTGTATTAAAAAAATTGAAATCTTGCGATTACTTTGATTATTATTTATGAGAAAATAATTGTATAGTTGTAAAGAATTTTATTTTTTCAAAAATAATTGAATTTCTAAGAAGAATTTTATTTTTTATGAAAATAATTGAATTATTGCGGAAAATTTTATTTAAAATATTTAAAAAGCATAGAATTTCTTTGAAAAATTTTGTTGTTAGAATTTTATCAACATTTTTTTCAAAAATAATTGAATTCCTTAAAAGCATTTTATTATTTATTTAAATAATTGAATTATTGCAAACGATTTTATTAGATTTTTTTTAAATTATTGAATTTCCAAGGAAAATGTATTACTTTTAAAAATAATTTTATTAAAATTTTTAAAAATAATTGAATTCCTGAGAATAATTTTATTATTTATGAAAAAAATTGAATTATTGAGAAAAATTGTATTAAAATGTTTAAAAAGAATTGAATTTCTATACCTAAAAAATTTTGTTATTAGAATTTTATCAACAATTTTTTTTAACAATTGAATTTCCATGAAAAATGTTATTATTAGTGAAAGTAATAAAATTATTGTGAAGAATTCTATAAAAATTCTGTTAAATAATTGATTTTCTCGAAATTTTTCTGAAAATGTTATTCTAAATTAATTGAATTCCTGTGGAAATTTTATTATTTATAAAAATACTTGAATTTTGGATGAATGTTATCAATTTTTTTTTTAAATAATTGAATTCTTTTGCGAAATTTTATGAAAATAGTAAATATTGAAAATAATTGAAGTGTGTAGGAAATGTAATTGTTTATAATTAAATTCAATAAAACAAACTACTAAAGCAAGAATAAACGAATACTTTTTTGTATATATTTTTAAAAATTTTATTCCTAAACATCTTTACATAAATTTTCTGGTCCTATTGGACTCATAATCGTTCTCAGCTGATTCCGTAAATCTTGACTTACATTTTGGAACTTGTTTAACATACATTTTCTTTGTAAAACACTGTCACTAAAAAGAAGAAAAAATATAAATAACTAAATCTCTAAAAATTTTTTTTTATTTTAATTTTATTTTAATTTTTCGAATTTTTAAGTAATGTTTCGGCAAATTCGTGGAAAAACTTACTTGCAAGAACCAATAATTGGTGACATTTGCATTAGCAATTCTTGGAAAAATAGAAGTTTTCTTTTATCTTGACCCAATTGACATTCATGAGAAGTTGTATTTTTAAGTTGTTTGCCATTTGTTATAACTGTAAAGCATATTAAAAATTACGATACCTATTTGCCAGTAGATAATTCTGTTAATTCTTTTTAATAAGAATTAATTATTAATTAATTCTTTAAATTTAAATTCTTATAATTTAAAGGCGAAAATAATTTTTCTTACAAAAATTAAATCTGTCTATTATTGCATTAGCAATTATTGACATCATATTAAATGCAATCTTATGGATTGATAATGTTCCAAATGGAAAATTGAATGGATAGCAATTTGATATTTCTTGAAAAAAAATTTCTATGCTATTCCATAATTCTTTAGCATTAAAGGATGAAAGTGATTTGTAATTAGTCTTTAACACTTTCTGCAACATATTTTCATATTCTTTTTGTTGCAAATCCACGTAATATAAATTTCTGTTCATTCGACATTGAGATTTTATGTCAATTACTTCTGAATTCAATAATTTTTCAGCTTCGAAATATGATTCGTCTGTCTTGTTTTCGAAGATATTTGCCAATGTTAATAATGTTTCTGTAAATGTATAAAAAATAAATAAATTAGAATCTATTGTTAATGAAAGATAGTATTCACTTACTTGCGAATTGAGAATTCTTGAAGTCTACTTCTCCATTGGCTGACACATGACAGTTGAATTCTTCAATAAAATCTAATTAAATGTTTTTTAATTGCGTGTTAATAAATTTTTAAATAATAATAAACATAAAATATTATTAATTATTTATATATTTATATATTAATTATTTATATATTTGTATATAAATTAAATTACAGAAATTTAAATACAAATTTACTGATACAAATAGTAGTATATTATAATAATAGATTCAATAAAATTATCACCAGCACACATACAAAAAAAAATTCTGGTTAAAATAACCAGAGTTCTGGTTTTTAACTACAATATCGTGTTAAATATTAATTAAACACTAATCAGAATTTTTTTTCAGTGCATAAAAAAATGAAATTACAGTTACGGATTAAAACAAAAAGTGATGAATTTACTGCTAATTTATGCACTTACAGAATAATAAAATGAATGTAAAAATTTTAATCGACATTTTCGTTGTTGGGACAAAAAGCAGAACAGATATATATATATGGATGAAAGTTTGTGCGTCAATGCGCTTTTTATACTTTTTATACTTCAAACTACAAAGAACGCACTAAAATTTAAATATTTATTTTTATGGTAATTTTACTATTGAAAATCGTTGAAACGATTTGTCGATTTATAATACATAGATATTTTTTTTTTTTAAATTGCAATTTGTAACGTACGCTTTTAAAAATTTATATATCTAAAGAAAATAAAATTTAATCTCAAACACCAGCTGTGATGATATTTAAAGCGAAATTTGAATATTTATTAATAATGGCCTTTGCGTTTTATTTGTTTTCTGCATTTGAACAGTTGGGATTTTTTTTTAAATAAACTGATATTTTATAAATACAGTCAAGTACGGTTTTTTTTAACTTTTATTATTTTTTAACAGTTTTGCCATAAAAAATTAATTTTTTTCTTATAATAATTTAATAATTTTAAAAATTAAAGAGTAGCAAATTTTTAAATAATTGAATTCCTTCGACGAATTTTAATATTTGTAAATAATTGAATTTCTGTGAAATTTTTATTACTTTTGAAAATAATTGAATTTCGGCATAGTTCGTTAAAAAATAATTTTTTTTTCATTAATAAACTTACTGACGTTGTATTTAAAAAACCTTATCAATATTCTGTCAATATATAATTGACGGAATTTTGAAAGAGTTAAAATAATATTTTTTTTCAGCATATTAGAAACTTGAGAGAGTTTTTTTTTTGCACAACCAAGATACTCATCTTGTATAATTAAGAACCTCTAAAGATGCCAGGGTTGCGCCTCCACTTTATGAGGGTAACTCCTATTAATAAACGAAGTTTTAGTTGCGCAATGCATTTACTGGTAGTATAAAAATAATAATTAATATGCATAAGATGGTTTCAACCTTTAATCAAGCTCTAAGACAACCCTGCAGAGTAAATAAAAATGATTTATAAATGATAATTAGAATTTCAAAAAAAAAAGTATAATTCTCATTTAAAAAAGAGGTTGCTTTGCAATATTTAAAATCCATCACATTTTATGCTGTATTTGGAAAGAATTTCATCTTATTGCGCGTTAAATATTGCAAAGAGTTTCTGAATCGGTTTTTAGATCAAAGTTTTCTGCTTTCTTTGGAAAAATAAAAAGTTCCGTTGAATCAAAAAGTAATACTTCTAAAATAATAAAATGATGAAAGGTATTAAAGATTTTTATTGAGAGGGGAAGTTTTATGCGCACTCTTTTATCTTTTTTTTTACTTTAAAGTTTTATACAATCGATCATAGGTGCGTGTTAATTGAGCATAATTAAAAACAAAAATATTGCAAACAATATTTTCCAAATCAGATTTTTTAGATTTAGAAACACATTTAGGTTGGACGTTGACACTCAAGAGATCTTTGGCTCACAGATTCAATTATATTTAAATACAAAAATAAATAATTTATAGAATAATTGAATGTTTCTTGGAATTGAATTCTCAAAAAGAATTTTATCAACAAATTTTTAAATAATTGAATTCTTACGACGAATTTTAATAAAATTTTTAAGAATTATTATATTATTTTTCGAGGAATGCAATTAAAATTTATTGTATTAAAAATAATTGAAATCTTGTAATGAGATTTATTATTTATGCAAATAATTGAATTCTTCTAAAGAGAATTTCATTATTTATGAGAATAATTGAATTAAGGAAATTTTTTGAAAATAATTGAAATTTTGCCCAGAGATATATTAAAATTTTCGAAAACAATTGAATTACGGAGAAGAAGTTTATTATTTATAAACGTTATTAAAATTTTGAGGATTATTTTTTAAATTTTTCGACATAATTGAATTTTTTAGAAGAATTTTATTACTTTTGAAAATAATTGAATTTTTGTGCAGAAATTTATAAAAAAAAATTTATAAATAATTAAATTTTTTCGACGAATTTTAATAAAATTTTCATAAGAATAGTTAATTAATTTTTGAGGAATTTGATTAAAATTGTATTGAAAATGATTGAAATTCTATGATTAGTTTTATTATTCATGAATATAATTGAATCTCGGTGAAAATTTTTTTTAATTATTTATGAAAATAATGTAATGTTTGCTTTAAATTTTATCAACACTTTTTTTTTTTAAATAAATGAAGTGTTTTGAAAAATTTTATTATAAAATAGTAGATATTGAAAATGATTGAATTGAGGAAAATTTTCGAAAATAATTGAATTTTTGCGACGAATTTTATTACTTTTGAAAATAAATTGAATTTCTGCTATCATTTGTAACTTCTTTTAAATTCAATTTTTTTTCAGTACTTTAATAAAAATCGCTGACTTTTCCTAACCAATGACAACCCTGGAAATGTTAAAATATTTTTAAAATAAAAAGCATGTAATTTTTCGACGTGGGGATTTAGGAATCAAAGTATGTAAAAACGAAATAGATTAGAAGTACCGTATTTGCAATTTTTGTCAGAGAGAGAATTTTCTAGGTTGAATCACGAACTTTGATTAATACCGAATTTTATTTTCTACTCCCGTTAAATGTCAGAGTTAACGATTTCGAAATTAATGTCGTATGGGAAGATGTAAAATTTGATAAGGCTTTTATGAAAGGGCAAGAGTACATCCAATTTCTAATTGCAGCACTTACATTAAGTAGATTGACTTATATAATAAATTGGATATTCCATTCATTCTGGATACGCATTTAAGTAAAATTACTCTAAATCGTTCATGACTTCTCGTTCGTCTGGCAATTTTGATGAAACATTTGCTGCAGACAATTTAACAAAGAGGAGAAGAAGTTTTCAGTTTAATGGACGAAAATAAACTAAAAATGGATCTAAATAGCAATAAAAAATAGTAATGGAGAAAAGAATGGGAAAAATTGATACTATCTTTGTGTTTTTAATTGAAAAATATATGGTTGAATTTTTCAGAATGTTTCAGAAACAATGTTTTGCATAATGAGCATTTGAACTGAAGTATGGAGACTTGGAATTTGGTAGGTAGAAATTATGCAGGACTAAAAATGATTTTTCTAATTGAGGTATTTGATGCAGTTGGTAAGGTCGTTGAGAATATTTATGATAGAAAATGGCTGCTTAGCAAGTAAAATCTAGAGCTTGTGCTATAGGCGAACTGGTGCACGCTGACAACGTTTGGCTTGATATCGGGGATAGGTTATAATTGGTTTTATCTGACTGTGCCGCGCAGAGGGACCGTAATGAAAATGATACCTTGGCACGCGAGCAACCTGCCACAGCAGCCAGTCGGTCTGCACGATATTACTATTTGCACAAAATTACCCCGCAAGATTGCTGTACTTACGAACACTCGAGTTTCGATCAACTCCACACAGTCACCCTCTCTTTCTCTCTCTCTCTCTCTCTCTTGTTCTCGCGTGCGTACCTACCTAGATCGTCCTTGTACCGTAATTACTTCCCCCCTTTATAAACTACAAAAGTAACCGAGAATCAAATTAAAAATTGTACCTGCTCATGCGTGTCTAAATAATCGACTCGAATGGTTTCGCTATAGCTTGCCCTTTCAAGATGGCACAATGATAATCAACGAATTAACTCTCACTGTAGAATGCTGCATTGCCAACTTTTGAGGAATGTCACGAACCAAACGATACTATTTCCCTTTTTATTGTACAGCTCTAATGCGGTATAATTTATTATTTTATTCGATACTATGTCAAAATGTCCACGCTAAAAACAAACAATTTGTTTGCGACAATATTTCTTACCTCCAGTTTCATGAAATTTCAATTTGTCAAATTCAAAATCCAAAGTTAATATCGAATCAATAGTCAAATTAAAAAAACCCCATGCTTTTTCGTAAATGAGGAGCTGATAGTAAAAGTGGTTTAAAAAATCATTGGGAACAAAAGTGGGATAAGTGACTTGGGATCAAAAACGGGTTAAAATAATTTATGTATTTATCGATAAGTTCATTATACTAATGATTTGCAAAATATTAATTGTAATTAAAATAAGTCTTTCTTTAATCTTTAATATTTTAAATATTTTTTGACTATCAATATTATAATTAATTTATCCATAAATTACCAAATCATTTTAACCCATTTTTGCTCCCATGTCTCTTATCCCATTTTTGCTCCCTAAGTTTTTTAAACCACTTTTACTATCGGCCCCTCAAATGAAGAAAAATAAGTTACAGAAATACATAAACTACAACAAAATTTTTTATTGTGCATAATGGTAGGTAATTACAAAAAAAAAATTTTTTAAACAGGGTTGTCACAGGTTGACAGTTTATAGGAAATTTTATTAAAAGTACGAAAAAAAATTAAATTTTTAGAATTTATAAAAAAATTCTGAAACTTATCTTTTTTGTTTGCCTAGCAAACTATGAATTTACCACGAACTCTAATACAAAAAACAAAACCTTCAATTTTTTCTATTTCTGACAATAATTTATTTATTATTAACTTAATTCTATCACAAAATTATGACTTATAAATTATTTATTGGATTATTTGAAAATTTTAATTAAATATTTCAAAATTAATTGAATGTTAAAACAGTACTTGTTGCGTTTACCATATTCAAAATACAGATCAACTTCAAAAGGTTTTAATTTGAAATTTTAAATAAAATTTCAATTTTGAATGAATTTAATTAGAAAATGAAACTTAGAATTTAAAAACATTTTACTAAGTAAAATTCTTCTGTAATTTGTGAAATTTTCTAATATATATTAGATTAGTTGATAATATTTTAAAAATATATTTTACAAAATATTGAATATTGAAAATATTTTACAGGGATTCAATTATTTTCATAAATAATATCATTTTTCACCAGAATTCAATTATTTAAAATCATTTTTATAAAATTCTTCCCGAAAATTTAATTATTTTCACAAATAATAAAATTCTTTGCAAGATTTCAATTATTTTCATAAATAATATAATCTTTCACCAGAATTCAATTATTTAAAATCATTTTTAAAAAATTCTTCCCGAAAATTAAATTATTTTCACAAATAATATAATTCATTGCGAAATTTCATTTATATTTTCAAAAATTTGTTATTCTTTAAATGGAATTGAATTAAAATTATATTGAAAATTATTTAATTCTCATGAAGAATTGCATAAAAATTCTTAAAAATAATTGAATTTTTTCGAAGAATTTCATTAAAATTTTTTAAATAATTGAATTTTTTTGAGAAATTTTTTTAAAATTGAATCACAAATAATTGAATCTCTACAAAAAAGTTTTATCAAAGTTTTTGAAAATATTTAAATTTCTTCGAAAATTTTGATATTTCTAAAAATAATTGAATACTTGCCAAGAATTTTATTAAGATTTTTCAAAATAGTTGAATTTCTGCAAAGATTTTTATTATTTAACGAAAATATTAAAATTCTTGCGAAAAATTTTATTAAAATTTCTAAAAGTAATTGAAGATCTGCAAATAATTTTATTAAAATTTTTGAAAATAATTGAATTACTGCGAATTTTTCACAGGAATTTAATTATTTTTGAAAATTTTTATAAAATTCTTCAGAAGAATTCATAATTATTTGCAGAAATAATAAAACTCATTGCCGGATTTCAATTATTTTTAATACAATTTTAATTGAATTCCTCGAAAATTTTATTAAAAATCGTTAAAAGAATTTATTTATTTAAAATTTTTTTGATAAAATTCTTTGTAAGTATTTTTAATTTTGTCTGAGAAACGTTCAATTATTGAATAAATTATTTATTTTCGTATTTAAATAATTGAACTCTCGTAGAATTTTCTAATAAAAATTGATTTAAAAATGAATTTCAGTTAAAATTTTTCATAATAAATAATTTAATACAAAAAGAATTGTAGCATGAATTTTGAGAAATAATTGAATTTTGAAAAGGTGTCAAATTAAAATCTTTGAAAATCATTCGGTGAACTTTAATTATAATAAAACATGAAGCTATCGATTATTCCGAGTCGAAGACTCGGAGTAATTCATAACTTCATGTTTTATAACAAAATGTTCCTATAAATTGTTTAATTTCAAAAAGATTCGAATTTGAATGTTTTGAAAATTTTAATTTCTATGGAAAATAATAATAAAAAAATATTTCTTTAAAAATGAAGTTATTGATTTTTTATTGAACAATTTTTTAACTATAAAAATATTTTTTTAATAAATGTAATAATTTTAAAAAATATCTACCAAGCAATTTATTTTTAATAAACGAATTGAAATGATTTTATTAAAATAAAATTATTTTATTATTTATATAAAAAGTTTGTGTATGAAAAAGAAATTTTATATAGGAGAATATATATATGTCTAGAGCCATCGTGAGTGAATTGAAGTCAATTTCAAAGTGACGTCACCAGTTGATAGAAGATTTAAAGTGATTTCTAAAAATTTTCTCGCTTAAAACTTTTTCACGAACTTTGGTGAATCTGAGGGTAATTTTAACCGTATTGCATTGCGCGGTTAAATCTGTCGATCTCAGCGTGGTCGCGAGATCCCTTTTTTCGGTTTCGTGCAAAGAGAGATTTGAAATTCGATGGAAAATAATATTTCTTCTATGATCACGTACATGCTGCGATAAGACTTCTCTATGTACCACATAAAAAAAGCGAGTACATTTTGCCTGAAAGGCGAACTTTTAAATTACCAAAGCCATCTACCAATGGCAAGTTTTCCAACAAGTTTTTTACTTTCATTTTTTTCCTTTTTTTTTGTTATTTGGAAAAAATGAGAAAACGTTTAATACACTTTTTCTCTTCATGCAACATTTCAATTTTTTATTTACCAATTTTTGAAATATTTAGAAAAATATTATTTCTAAGAAATTTAATGATCTAAAAGAATTATGAATTTAAATTAATTTATTTGCACTGAAATATATTTTTTAACTTGAAAAATAAATAAAAGTTAATATTAAATGTATTTTTATTTAAAACCCTTCTAGGTACAAAATGTAAAATTGTAAATACATTTAATATTTTAAATGAAGTTTATAAACAGCATTGAAATTTTGTTTTATTAATTAATTTTGTCTGCAAGTTTGTGAAACAACATAAATTTTTCAATTGTTATATAAAAGGAAATAACTCAGAAACAGTAATTACTTCATTTTTTATTAAATTTTATTTTTTCTTTATTCAGGTAGAAGTAATTTCAGAATGAATAAAACATTGCATATGACCTAATTAATTTTGCGCAAAGTTTTGTAATAAAATTCTATTTTTGTTAAATTTCATTTTATTTTTATGAAATTCATAATATTATAAATTCATGAATAATGAAATTATTTTGAGATCGGTAAATTTGAAATTTTAACATTTTTTTTGGAAAAAATTGATGAGTGAAAATTAACCAATGAAATATTTTGGATTTGCATAATATGATGAGGCTAATTGTGTTGCGAGATTTTGTAGATCTTCATAAACTGCTGGATAATAATTTGACAAATACCAAACGAAAAGTCGAATTTTTTCGTGCTCATTTTCAGTACACTCTTGACATTTATTTAATGCATATTTTATAAACAATGCTGCAACAAAATAAAGTTATAAATATTTCAAATTAAAATTTCACAAAAAGTTTTTATTTATTAACAATATTAGAGTAGCTACCTACAATTTAAAATTTACTAATAATTAAGTGAGAGTGGAGAGATTTTTATTATTTACAGAAAGTGCTTTATTTTTATATTCAAATTTAAAAATTTCATTTTCAATATTTTAATAAAATATATAAAAAGGATTAAAAAACAACTACTTTGTTTCAACTAACAGATTAAATTGACATTCATTTTTTATTTTTTTTTATAAAAGATGAATAAATATCAATTTTGCTTTATGAAAGCAAAATGAATAGTTAAGTGTTTAAAATCGTAAATCGAAATTTTTTTACCTCTATTTTCTTCTTCCAAGGCACTACATTCTTTTAATCCCTTAATGCAAGCTAGTTGTTTGCCAACAAGATCAGGATCTTGTACAATGTCGAAATAACTGAACGAATTGCAAACAATGATTATAAGAAAAATGGTCAAACAGAAAATGTTGACTCGTATTGTACTCATGGTAAATTTAAAAAAAACAAAATTATTGTTACTGATTTTTTTTACAAAAAATCTGTTTTCAAAAAAAAGTTGTACTTAAAAAAGTTGATTTAGATTTAAATCAAAATACTTGATTGACGATAGTTTTTAAAATTTGAATTTAACAATTCCGGCTTTCATGAAGTTCGCAATAAGACTGATGATATAATATTGCAATAATAAAATCGGAAATATAGTCGACTACAGTTACATTTCAATTGTCGAGATTGATGAAAATGTTTACATTACGTAAGAAATTGAATAAATTGAACAAATTACAGACCAAAAGAGATCAGTAAATAAAAAATATTTTTTTGATCATATAAACAATATGTCACGTAAAATAATTTAATTTCTCAAAATATGAAATGTATTTTTTATTTTCGTTGCTCAATTGTTATTGTAACGTCAGGAGAACGCAAAGCAAATAAGAAAGAATTATTTTAAATCTTATTTAAATCCCCAGCTGAAAAAGTTTTATACTCAATTTCAATTCAATTATTATTTTTAAAAATTTTTCTTTAAATCAATTAATTTTCAAAAAAATACTTTGACAACTTTCAAAATCTATTCCCATTTACAATATTCAATTTTACCAATAATTTCAATTATTCGTAAATTCCTCGATTAAATATATATTAGAAAATAAAAACTTCAAATAATATAAAAAAAATTAAATTACAATTTATCAAAAAAATTAATTTCAAAATTCAATTATTTCTAAAAATCCACGCTATATTGCTTTTAATATTTAATTATTATCTTAAATTTTAACTGAAATTCATTTTTATAAAATGAAAATCAATTTTTATTAGAAAATTCTACGAGAATTCAATTATTTAAAAACTAATAAAATGCAAATAAACAATTTATTGAATATTTTAATGTTTCTTAAAATTGAATTCTTAATTAATTAATTAATTGTTAATTAAAAACTTCATTTATGAAATTTTTGACCCAACATTTCACAGTATACGTAACATTTAAAAAATATTTTCAATGATTTCAAAAGAAATTTTTTTTCTAAGAAGAAAATTTTATTAGAAATAAAGTTGCACCACAAACTACAAAAAAAAAAAAGAATATCCGAACACATTTCCATGAGAAATTAATAAAGCAAAAAACGAGTTCACGCTTTGATTCGTTTACGCGCAATCACAAAGTGAACTTCAAACCATCCGAAAACGAGGGAACAAAAAAGAAAAGCCGTGAAGGTCCCGCTTTTCTCTCATTTACATGTTAATCATTTCTCTTCCCTTTTGCATTGCCCTTTTTTTGTGGAAAAAAAAAACAATATTGTCTCTCGTATTTCTCTTTCACGTTGAAAATCCCAGAGAATGACTTTTAGAAATCACTCTGCCATCTATGCCCGCGCATACCTGCACGATGTTTTAATATATTAAAGTGATAAGAGGTGAAAACTATGGTAATGAATGGAATTTCTAGAAGCTTGTACTTAAGACTAGGAAGTGACGCTCAGAATACAAAATTGATCTTAGCATTACATTATATTATATTATATGCGACGTTAGAGAGGGAGAAGGAAGAACTTTGGGGGGAGGGGGTATGGTGTGCATTGAAGATGTTCAACATCCCAACTGGTTTACGCGATCTTCGTCTCTTTGATTCTTGTATGAATCTCAAATTGTGGCTTAACTTGGATGAACATCAATAGTTTCGACAAAAGCTTTACTCTAGCAGCGACAACCTCATCTAAATTATTCACTCGAAACTTGTTGAAAATTCATGCATTTTCCCTTTAAATCCGTTAAAACGTGTATAGTGAGGAAAGTACTTTAATTTTCATGGAAACTGAATTTAGAGATATTTTTCGAAAACAAAAGAATTGCAAATTCAGAATAATACCGTTGATTCTGTTACAGAATCTTTTTTTTTCATGGATAGTTCGAATCTTTGGATTTTTCGCTGAAAACTGATGTTTTTTTATTTATTTATTTATTCAATCAATCGTCCCTTTGCTTTATTACACTGAAAAAAAAATTTATTTAATTCAAATAACCGATTAATTGACTATTATCAATTAAATAATTACTTGAATCAAATAATATTTATTGGAATTATTGAATTTTATTAACAAATATTTGTTAAACTTTTTAAAAATAATAATTCCATCGAGAAATTTTATTCAAATTGCATTGGAAGTTATTAAATTTCTCCAAAGAATTTTTTAAAAGTTTCTGAAAGTAATTTTTATATAAATTTTTTTTTAATAATAGAATTCTTTTGGGAATTTTTTATGGAAATAGTAAATATTGAAAATAATTAAAATTTGAAAATTTTTTGAATTTAATTAATTTTCTACGGAGTATTTTATTAAAATTTTTTGAAAATTGAATTGTTACGAAGAATATCATTAAAGTTTTTAAAAATTCTTAAAATTGAATTTTTTTAAAAAATTTTAATAAAACTTTTAGGAGTAATTGCATTTTTTGAAAAATTATTTTAAAGTTGTATTAAAAATTATTTTTTTTTTAAATTTTTATGAAAATTGTTATTTAAATAATTGAATGTTTGTGAAAATTTTATTATTGATAAAAATAATTGAATGTTTACAAAGAATTTTAAAGAATTTTTTTTTAATAATTGAATTCTCTTGGGATGTTTTTTATGGAAATAGTAAATTTTGAAAATCAGTGAATTGAGAAAAATTTATGAATTTAATTTATTTTTTATGGCGAATTTTATTAAAATATTTTGAAAATTGAAGTTTTACGAAGAATATTATTAAAGTTATTGATAATGATTAAATTCTTTAATGAAATTTAATTGAAAATGCATTGAGAATAATTATTAAATTCTAATATAAACAAATTATATCAAAATTTTTTAAAATTGAATTTTTTAAAAGAATTTTAATAAAACTTCTAAGAGTAATAGCAAAAATAATTTTTTTCGAAAATTTTTATGAATCCTATTGTGATTTAAATAAATGAATTTCTGAGAAAATTTTATTATTTATGGAAATAATTAAATGTTTACAAAGAATTTCATAGAATTTTTTTTTAGAATAATTGAATTCTTTTGGGAATTGTTTTATGGAAATAGTAAATAATGGAAATAATTGAATTTCGAAAAATTTTTAATTTAATTAAATTTCTACGAAGAATTTTGTTAAAATTTTTTGAAAATTGAATGGTTACGAAGATTATTTACACTATTATAAATTATTAATTACACAAATTATAGATCAGAATTTTTTCAAAGAATTTTAATAAAACTTTTAAGAGTAATTGCATTTTTTGAGGAATTCATTTAATGTTCTATTAAAAATTATTTTTTTCAAAAATTTTCATGAAAATTGTGATTTAAATAATTGAATTTCAGTGAAAATTTTATTATTCATAAAAATAATTGAATGTTTACAAAGAAGTTTATAGAATTTTTTTAAATATTTGAATTCTTTTGGGAATTTTTTTAGGGAAATACGGAAATAGTAAATATTGAAAATAATTGCATTTCGTAAAATTTTTGGAATTTATTTAAATTTCTACGTAGAGTTTTAAAAACTTTTAGAATTGTTTATATGAATTTTATTAAAATTTTTTAGAATAATCTTTTGATTTAAACTTTTAGAGGAATTTAAAGTATTGGAAATTCTCAAGCTCTTATTTTGAATCAGTTAAAAATCATGGTTTTAACTGACTATCAGTGACTGACTTTTGCTTCTGAATCAGTTTAAAAATAGCTAATTTTCTTTGAAAAAATAACTGATTTCTGTAGAAAATAACTGAAAAATTATAGTTAAACTTGACTAATTCAATGAGTTAAAAAATCTACTCTCTAAATTAGAATCAGTTAAAATTTAAAAATAACTGATTAGAAGCAAAAAGTCAGTCTCTAATTCAAATAGTAACATTTCTACCAACAATTAGTTAAAGATAATTGATGTTTCAGTAATTTTTTTTGACTGATTCAATTAATCAAGTTTAATTAATTTTTCAGTTATTTTTTCACTGAAAATCAGTTATTTTTAACAGTTTCAAAAGGAAAAAGTCAGTCACTGATTGTAAGTTAAAACGATGATTTTTAACTGATTCAAATTAAGAGATTAGTACAAAAAAGTATCGTTTAGTGTCACAAATCTGAAAAAAGTATTAGATTAGGTCCTGCAATACTTAGACGAATGTAAAGAGCACCTAGTCGCGTGTTTTTGATAAAAAAAAGAACAAAACATTTGTTTTCGGTTTAACACACCTGTTTAAAAGGATCTGTTTATTCCAACGCAACACTGAGAGAAGAGTCGTTTCACAAGTTTAAAAGCTCGCTCCATTTTCGCGGTGTGAGGGAATTTTTTCATTCCTTTAGTCTTTCGAGCCGCAGTCCCGTCCCGAGAGATCCAGTCGTGCGGCATAATTTTCAATTACAATAGATTATATCGCGCTGAGTTAAAGGGGCTTGTGCGCTATGCCCCCGCAGTTGTCACCCCTTTAGGCGCCCCACAGTGCCTGGGGCGTGACCGGGCTATAAACGGCGGGTTTGCGTAAACGTTCGAAAATCACTGGCGTGCGATAGCATAGTGTATAGCCAGACATTTGTTATTCGGAACGAATAATAATTTCATTTCATTTCACGCACATGCACAGTACCCAAAAAAAATAAAATGAAAATAAAAATTGCATCTAAATCAAGTACACGTCTTTGAATTGTTAAAAAATTTTCCAAATTCCATAGCGTCAAGTTTTTATTTTTCAACATTTAAATCTCTCTGAATACTGAAAAGTCCTTTGTCGACAGAACGGCAAATATTTACATTCGACGAGTATTTTACATTTACGCGAAAAGCACAATGGCAAACACAAGTTGTAATGTCGATTTTTATGTGTAGATTTTCAAAAGCCAAATTTATTGTCTGTTCTAACTGCTTTTAATTCGATTCGTTTGATGTGTGTATTCACTCTTTTCAACTGTTTACGTATAAATGCATTTTTATAATCACTGCATATTTTCACAAATTTGTTTACTTTATCAAATTATAATATAGTATATCCTGATAAAGCAATTCAGCATTTTTATATTTGTCTGTAAACTAATATTTGAATATATTGGACCAGTTATTACAAAGTACAAACATTTTTTTGCATTTCTTATGTAACATATAAGCAAATTACCTCGGGATAGGGTAAAATG